TCTATAATCTACTTTTAAGTTTGAAATTTCTCACAGAAAGAAGAAATAATGATCGTATCGATATCGATCATAGGAAGCGATGCATCGCTTGCATCAAATCTAGTGTATAACTAGTGACGTGAAAATCTCCATTTGTGAACGAAATACGACGATAGTTATTAACGCGTACATTGCGTTATCGCGACCAGTAATAGAATTATCACTCTGATATCCAACGTATATACATCCCGCACGATCGACACCCGATTTCCAGTGACTCGCGGACCACCGTAGCCCGTTGTTAACCTATTCTTTTCGATTCGGCGACAAATCTCGAAACAAACTGTTTCTCTTTACTTTTATTTATCACTTTTTCGTTCATATTATATAATCTAATTCTAATATTCTTTCTTTTTTTTTGAACATTTCTTTCTTTTATTCCCTAAAGTAAATATATCACGAATTGTTTTTGTTTTCTACCTGTTAATTTTTTTTATCGATCGATTGGCATCAAATTAATCAAACATGCATCGCATCGAAATCTCCGAATCAGTATCGAAGAATCGCTCACCGTATTCGTTGTGTCGACGTTTTTCCATTTCTTCACGGATTTCATCATCGGTTTTTCTTCTCTTCATCTCTCTTTCTCTCTTTCTCTCTCTCTCTCTTTCTCTCTCTCTTTCTCTCCCTTTCTTTCTCTCTCCCTCTTGTTCCTTTAGTTGTTTCGACACGAAATTGAACTTTCTCAACTAGACGAAACTCTTTATGAAAATTATTCTTGAAACCTGTCGCTACTTTCTTTCACCAAATCGGCAAATTATTCAAATTTTTTACACTTTATCAATTTCCTCCTTTTTCTAATTTCTTTCTTTTCTCTCTTTGCGTATCGCACTTATATTACAATTATTTCCACAAGGCAAGTGGCATGAACGAAAATATACGACACACCAAACACTTTTTTATTTTTTTTAAATTGCAAAAAAAGATATAAATTATAATAAAAATTATAATACTCGCAAAATTCCTTTTACCGTTTACTGATTAAGATCGTGTTCGCGTTGACCACCGTTCTAAGATCGGTAGCGAGGCTGGTGTGCATTATGTACACAGAGGAGAACCAGCGAGCAGAGTGAAGCTAACAAAGAGGGCACTCGACAAAAAGAGCGAGAGAATGGAAGAGTGAGGAGTAAGAATAAGCGAGACAGTGTATATACATGCATGTATATGTGTATGTGTGTATACGAGAGAGAGAGAAAGAGAAAGAGACGATCGTAGTTCCGTGGATGGTCGAATCAGATCGGGTGGAATTGACTGAAGTCGAACTAATGGTATCCGATCGAATCGGATTGGACCGTATCGAATAGAGTCGAATCGAATCAAGACTAGTTGGGATAGATGTTGTATCGGGTCAGGTCGGGTCGAATCGGATCGAATCGGTTTCGATTAAATTATACAAATGACTTTGGTACAGATTCAAATCAGCGTCAAACTTCAACTTTCCGAGGGAACTGCAAAATAAAAGTGAATATCAATTTTCTGAAAAGATAACGAAAGAGAACGATAATTATGAATATTGAATATCTAAATAAAGAATAATTTTAATTTATTAGCTTAACCAGGGAGGTTCTTTTGGTTCCTTACGATCGGCTACTTGCTCGTTTTTTAAGGTGGGGGTATCGCGAATAGCGCTAAAGAAAACTGCACACCGTCAACTCGATCGCATCGTCGTGGATCGACGCTGTTCGTTTACGCGTCTCACACACGTCACATTCGACAATGCACGCTGATTCTCCTTCTCACATTCATGTCGCGAAAAGCGCATGCGCTTCTTTTTTTCCAACATGTTTTTCTTATCAATCATAATGTATATACATATATGGTGTGTGTGTGTGTGTGTGTGTGTGTGTGTGTGTGTGTGTGTGTGTGTGTGTGTGTGTGTGT